CCTCAGTCTCTTGCGCTGAAGCAAACTCTTCAAAGCTCAACCGGCCATCCTGGTTCGAGTCGAACCTTGGCCACAAAAAGTGGGCTTCGGCATGAGCATCATGAGCCAGCTCAGCTTAAGCTGCGGGCACTTCAAACATGCGATCCGCCAAGAAGTGATCATCTGTGAGGCCCATGACGCCCATAGTTTGCTGGAACTGCTGCTTTAGCAAGTAGCCTGCGCATGTCAACAGCATGAACATATGTACATAGTACATATATAATCTTATATATGTTACATGTATATGTATATATATATATATGTATATATATACATATCATAAGGTCTGTAAGCGAATTGCCAAACACCTCTGCTGAAGGAACCTGCCTGATGGTGCTAAGCGTCTAAAACGTGCATACAACGCCTGGGCTGGCAAGAATATGAAAGAAGTGGAGGAGTGACAGTTTGGGCCGTCTATGATGGCAAGCTGCAAAGCAGACCGTGCCTTCACTTCAGCAGCAGTGAGGCTGGTGGATGACGTCATAGTCTGGCCACAAATATAAGAATGGGACAGTAATATAGGTCCCCCCGACCCTATACAGTACTTCTACCCGAAAGAGTGACACAGAGTGACTTGGTACCAGGGATCGGCATGAACGCTTTGATGGGAAGTTGCTGCATGAATCCCTCTTTGCCATCTGTAGTTCCTGCCCAGGTTTCCTCAACATTCCTTGACATCCCTCCAGCAGCTTCCACATCTGAGCTAGGCAGATTTCTGAACAAAATATTCCCACAGTCGAAGCTGAACACTCTGCGAACTGCGCCCCTTTCTTCCATGCCACTTCCTCACTGGCTTCTGACGGCTGCATGGCTGCTAAGTGCAGCCAGAAATGACATGTTCATGCGCAGCATCAGTCCATTTCGTCGCAATCGATTCTTCATTCACAAGACTTGGCTCAGGCTTCCAAACAGCCTTTGCAAATTTGACATGAGAATATATATATACATATGTGTGTGTGAAATATATATATACATTCATATATCTATATATACATACTACATACATTTATATATTACTTTAAATGTTAAATCAGTATCGTTCAATATCATTCAATATCATTCATCTGCCACAGGAGCGGCATCAGCATCTTCCATGCAAGTCTTCCAACTCCAGAGATGGATTTCACCATGCTTCTTTGAGAACCTGCCTTACATCACACCCCATAGAATTGTGAACAATCAGATGAGGCTCAACCCCCTTGCCGCTCAAGAGCTCTCATTGGCCACCATAGAGCGCCTGCGATGCAGTTGCGCCCCCTGGAGGCCTTGCGGAAAAGTTGCAGTAAAGCATCTGGCAGAAAACTCCATATAGGGGGTTGTCCCAAAAAGGTGGATACCAAATACCCCAAAATGGCAAGTCTAACGGCGAAAATGAAGATAAACATCGAGAAACCATACCAGTAGGATTTTGGAATTTTGAATATTTTGACTTGGCCCAAGAGATCAGCCAAGTTGCTGAGGCTGCGTTTGCCATACCGGGGCTGCTGGTGGAACTGCTGGGACAAATGCCGGCCTCTCCCTTGCAGAGTTGGTACTGCCGAAGAAGAGGTTTGCAAAGGATGATGAGATGCCAATGGTCTCCAGAACGCCCCAACAGCTTGCAGCGAGTCCTGAGATGGGACTGGCTTGCCGCGGCTTGCCACTTCAGCGTGGAGCCATGATTTTGGGAACCAGTCGCTGGACTTAGCAAACGACCAAAAAAAAACCTGTGTGACTGTCACAATCAAGGTGCCCCAACAGCAGCTGAACAGGGCCGTCCAAAATGCAAAGAGTAACAGGAAGACTGCAGCCCAGATGGGAGCGGAGTCACGAGCGGGACAATCTGCACTCCACCTTGGTCAAGGAATGGCATCTTGCCCTGAGGCTGCATACAAAGCTCAAGAGAAAATTTATATATTATGAGTGTGAAGAACACTTAATCGTTGTTCACACATGCATCATGAAATTGCATAATCATGTCATATACTTAGTGAGCCAAGTTGCCCGATGCCAAGGAAACTGTAGACCACACTGAAAACGAAGAACATGACATAAAAGCAGAAGCCGAAGTCATACAGAATAATTTGAGACGCCTGGACATCAGTTCACCGGTTCGCAGGTTCTGCCTTTTCGAACATCAAAAAACAGTAATTTGGGGATACGTCGGGATCAGCTTCCAAAGGATGGAAACCACCAACAAGCCTTGAAATATCATGAGAAATTGATGGTAATTGTGTTCTGATTCTGATGTGTCCATGGTGGATACTTCACCTGTCAAGGTGTTTGCTGCCGCCTCCTGCACAAGCGCGCGTGCACCCTGCTCTGTGCCAGATCGAATCGAAAGGTCCAAGCGCCACTGAAGGTACAGGGAGAAGGTCACATTGATCCTGAGTTTCTTCGATCTCTGCTTTGCCCTAATGGCCCTAATCATAATGACCCAAACTGAGTGCGAATTATCGTAATTCTTGGCATCTCGCTAAGCTCGACTCAAAGCTATACCAACAGTTCCGTAGCAGAAATTGCTAACCTGGCACCACGGCTGACAGCTTTGATGACAGAGCCAGTGGTCTGCGATACTTGTGAGAGATTCGCAGAGCCCACCCAGGTTTGAAAAGGTTTGCCGTCCCCAAGAACCTTCTCCCGACAGCATGGCACCTTACAAGCCCGCAGCTGTGGGTTCTGCAGGCTGGCAATAGCCTAGGCAGGGACAAGCCTTGAACCGTGAACCTGGGGGGTTCAACAGGGCAAGGCATCGAGGTTTCAGACCAGTGGCAAAGGCGGCTGCAGGAAGGTTCAACACTGCGGCCTCAGTGGGAAATACTCATATCCGAACTTGGCTGATCCGACAGGCTCAATAGCAACTGGCTGACAGGTCAAAAATCAGATGGTGTGTCCCTGGTTTTTAGGTTCAGGTTTCTGGGTTATCTATTGTGGGAATCTATTCACGTAAGTCGAAAGCGCAGAACGCACTGATCAAGAATGACTAGACTTATCCAACCACCAAATCCCTGAAGGGTATGAAATGCTGACAAGAACAAATGGGATGACTCAGGAGTTTTTTTTAAGCATATTATATTTCACATAGTTTTTGGATGTTTTAGGGGGTTGGACGCATGTCACTAAGACTGGACTGCTGACAAATTGTCTTAGCATCGCACTGATCCTTCATTCGACTGAGCATCCAACGATTATCACGAAGCAGCCCAAAGGTTTGCTGGTGATTGTGGCTAGTGGCCTGCAGCAGGTCCTGAGCGAAGGTTACAACATGTTACTGGGAAAATGCCTTCGAAAATTCATGGGAAACCACTGGATTCACTAGATAGAAGAAATGTGATGAAAAAGAAAATGCTTCGCTCTTCAATCATGGGCGCAGGGACTAAGACACCGACTTGCAGGTTTGCTCACAGCCGCCGCAGAGGTCTACAGAGCAACGGCCGCAAGCTTCACATGCATTTCCGCATCCATCGCAGAGCCCTGACCAAGCTCCAAGGATCATGTGATATTGGAACGCAAAATTCGACAATCAAAACTTTAAAACAGCTAACACGAACGCATCGAGCATAAGGTCTGCAAAAGCAGTGATGCTGCATGTTGATGCCTGAGCAACACTTCTGCACTGCGTTGAAGCAGTGGATCATGGAGACGAACGGTCTGTGCTGACCAAGCGCAACTGAAATTGCCAAAGGGATCTGGCAGCTCTTTCACGCCAAAATCTACAGCAATCCGTGCGATGTGGTTATCTGAGGCTATTTGTATGCACTATCACTAATATGCAGTAGGCAGTAGGTGTTTTTCTAGCGATTTGATTGATGTGAACTTTTTGGTCACCGTCGCTTGGGCCAAGCTAGTGGGCATAATGTTCAAAAGCAGGAGCCAAGAGTCCGAGGACTTCCAGTGAAGATTCCGAGCTGTTTGCTGAACTTGGAGAGTTTAATGCAGCTTACAACAACTTGTACCTTGCCTCCAACGCATCCTTCCTGATGCGCTTTGGCAGCGCAGGAGCCTTCAAAGAAGCTCCAACTGAGTTCAGCTGACTTTGTTCCAGCATACTGAGCCACCGAACAGCACCACATGCGCAGACCGCCATCTCTGCTACTAATGCAGCTATGATCTGTAACGGGCAGCGTCAAGGGCACAAAACCAGCAAGTTGATGCAAGTTGGGGCTGTGGGCTCTGTAGCTGAAGACATATCAGGCAAAAGATTTTGTCAGTTCGATTTTGCTGGCTGGTTTGGTGAAGTTTTGCCCTCATTTGCGAGGCTCTGGGTGTTGGGTCCTCTCCAGTGAACCATTTCAAGCCCGGTGAAACTCAGGATGCCGGCAGATTCTCTACGGCACCCCGTTCCCAAAGCTTGAGCCAAGTCCAGAAAATCATCGCTGTCCTTCTCACTGAGATGCCATGCAGCGCCAGAGATTTCAGAAACTCTTCACAGGTGTCAGCAGCATGTCTCGGCAGCTTCACAGGTTGGCTTAGGCTGCACGGGGATTTTTTCTCCTCAATCTACATGCTGTAAACCGGCAGCATGTTTGAGTGAAACTCCTCCGTGCGCTGCAAGCACGCCTTCGCCGTGCTGCGCGCATGCCCCAAAAAAAACTACTATGATAGTTGATGGTGTTTTGCTAAACTCCCAATTTTCTTCCAGGGCATCATTGGCACGGTCAGTCAACTCATCTTTAAAAGGGAATCTCCACTTCTGCTAGCTGTCAGAACCTCAGCCCAGCCCCAAAACCAAGACCAAAAGCAACCAGAAGGGCAAAGTGGCGATGACAAGGCAATAATCTGGCAAGCACGCCACAATTGTGCCGCCCTTTAGTTTAAGTTTAAATGGTGATAAAAGGCCTGGGATCAATCAAATAGGGCCAAATAGGGGGCAACAGGAATGCCAAAAAATGATGACGAGGACGAGGACGAGGACGACGACGATGAGGAGGAGGACGACGATGACCATGACGATGACGATGACGATGAGGATGAGGATGAGGATGCGGATAAGGATGAGGATGAGGATGAGGAGGAGGAGGATGATGATGATGATGGTGATGATGATGATGCTGATGCTGATGCTGATGATGATGATGATGATGGTGGTGATGCTGATGCTGATGCTGATGCTGATGATGATGATGATGATGATGATGATGATGATGATGATGATGATGACGATGACGATGACGATGACGATGACGATGACGATGACGATGACGATGACGATGACGCTGACGCTGACGCTGATGCTGATGCTGATGCTGATGCTGATTCTGATGCTGATGCTGATGCTGATGATGATGGTGATGGTGATGGTGATGATGATGATGATGATGATGATGATGATGATGATGATGATGATGATGATGCTGATGATGATGATGATGATGATGATGATGATGATGATGATGATGATGATGGTTTATGGTTTATGTTTATGTTTATGTTTGTACTGGCGGTGGTGGCAGTGGTGACAGTGGGGGCAGTGGTGGTGGCAATGGCGACAATGGCGGTAATAGTGGCGGCGATGGTGGCGGCGATGGTGATGGGGATGGTCATGGTCATGGTGATATGATGGCGATAAGGACGACGACGACGACGACGATGCTGACCGCGATGGCGATACTGATCGCGAAGCTGGCAATGATGGTGTCGGCAGCGTGGAGAATGACGACTCCCGTGGCAAGGCAAATTCTTTTGGCCGAGGGCTGGGTAGGGGCGAGAAGCATCCTGCCAAAGCGTCCCTAATTTGTGGAGGCAGTGCCAGATACAGCTCAGTCGTAAAGGAAAGGGAAGGCAATGAAATGACAAGACTTCCAGCAAATGCCTCACTCCAGTGTGAGCTCATCCCTTCAACTTCTCTAAGTGTGATACACAACATGGTGGTTCGACATCCATTTCGATCGCCGTTTCTCCTTTTGAGCTTTGCTCATGGAGGGATCGCCAACCTCGGCACAAAATGAATTGAAGCTCTCTAAGATGTCTCAACACCAGCAGGCTTCCCATGGCTTCCCATGGCTTCCCATGGCTTCCCATGGCTTCCCTGTTCTGAGTTTGGTAAAACAGTCGGCACTCCACGAAGCGTTCTGGCCAGGTCACGCAGCTCTGAAAGGACTCTTCGATGCGAACCTCTCGGCTGATGCTGACTCCATACATCTACAACCAACCAGTGTTCGGTAAATGCAGTAAACTCATGTAAACTCATGCAAACTCAGCATCTCAAAGATATTCAAAGCATTTCAAAGCATTTCAGTGTATAGCATTCACATGCATTCACCAAATCATCGATCAATGCAGCACATAAGGGCTCGGCCTTCTGCTTCTGTGGCTTCTCTGACAGGCTCCAAACGTCCACCTTCAACTTCCCCTCTTCTTTGAGCTTGCCTATAGCCACTAAACCAAGCCCTGCGAATTTCGGGCTTGTCTGTCTTCGCTTGACCGAGAAGCTCAAGAACATTGACTCATAAACTCAATATATACGTGGCTCATGAGTGGATCATAAGGCAAGGACATCGGCGCTTGCGAAGGGCGGCAGCCGTCAGCAGTGTGAAATTACCAGCCCGCTGCGGGTCCTCGGGCGGGAAAAGGTCGTCGGAATGCCCAAGTATTTCTGTCAAGAGTCGAGAAAGCCAGTCCTCTGCAAACGCCGAAAGGATTGTGATAATCTCCACTACATTGGTTGGTATCACCCCCTGTAACCATCAACCAACCAGGGTTTTGAACACTGTCCAACAACAATTGCGACCAGTGCCTGTGCTCTGTCTCTGCCTAGAATCATCTTCTGGCAAAACCTCCTCAAGCTGCACGCTACTTGCCTCTTCGGTTTGTGTATGCTGAGGCAGTACGTAGTATTCGGCTGTGCAGATTGGAGGGTGCAAAAAACTGGAGCAACATCAATAAATAATGATACACGGTGACACTCCTTGGCTATGAACGGACTAAATGGCTGTTCGGAATTTTGGGGACGCTGCGCTTTTAGAGAGTGGGAAAACCGTCTTGCATGCCTCAACACTTGGAAGATTGAAATGAGTCAAACACGTTGCCACACTCAAAAAGGGGTGAAGAATAGTTTTACGTTTTCTTGATGAGGTTTGTTTTTGTTTTTGGATTTCTTTCCTGGTACCATTTGCCTTGTATTCGCGACAGTTTGGAACTAGAACCTGTCATTTTGCACGGTATTTGCTATATTTTTGGCACGTCAACCTCTCAGTTTGTATGGTATTTGCTGCATGTTGGTACTTCAAACGTTCATGACCTCTCATTTTGCATGGTATTCGCTACATGTTGGTACTCCAAACGTTCATCTGGGTTTCTTTTTGGGGTATCTTTAAGGTTTCTTTAGGCTTTAATTTAGGTTTTTTCTTGGATTCATTTCAGGTTTCATTTAGGGTTTCTTTAGGGTGTCATTTAGATTCATTTAGGGTCTCTCCTGGCTTTCATTTAGAATTTCTTTGGGGTTTCTTTCGGATCCAAGAAGAGCAAAAAAAGCGGACAAGTTGAACAGCATGAAAGCAGAAAAGCAGAGAAGCCGGAACAGCGGAAAAGCAGGAATTAAAAAAAAAAAACTAAAATAAATAGCTCTCCCTCAAAAAGTGCTGCACAAGAGATTACCCAGCTGCATAATTAAGTGTGACCAGCATGTCGCCATGATTGTAAGAACCCCTGCCCACACCAGCCTCAGAGGGGAAGTCCCTGCTGCGGTCAAAGTAGGATCTCATATTTCTCTGGACAGGCAACCTGCCAAAACCATCTCAAATCCTCCAAGATAAACTTCTTTGACAACTCCAATGAGCCTGCCACCAGAATTGTCAAAGGTGAGCTGATGACGATGCCTTGCAGATCATGGAATTCGGACTTTGAGCTGACAAAACCAACATCTTGAGCAATAGATAGCAATAGCATGCTCACACAGCTCTCCGTGCCAAGACGCATCCACTTCCCATCATTGTGAAAGCGTGCGTCGCCACCAGCCATCATTGTTCTGAGAGAATCCTCACAGCTGAATCTGCCAAAAACATTATCGAAACTAAGTGAAACCAAGGCCAGCAAGCTCTCTGTTGGCTATCAGCAAGCACTCCTTGGTCGAGATATCCCTGCCCAGGCTCCAAACCTTATCAAGTAGCACGGCCATCACATGAATGAGGGATGTGCTATGCTGCTGTGCTGATATGCCAACCACCTTGCAGTTTGAGCCATGTCACCGAGCAGGAAGCATGTGGCTCCGAGTGTGGGGAGCGAAGCTCAGCATGTTCACGAAAGCGGTCAAAGTAGGAGCGGTCCAATCTGGAGACTTCCTGCAAATCAGCATGCGTTGTTCCCACCCTTCCCCCTTCCCAGGCAAACAAAGGCCTCGTTTTGAAAGGTCAACCTTGGTTTGACGAGGATGCGTCTTTTTTTTCAAATTCAACCCCAGCCGTGGTCCACATTCAATCGCTGCTTGGGGAAGTGTTGTGCATCACATTACCGCTACTTTTGACTGCAGATGAAAGCTCTTGGACAGGAGAAGACAGTGAAACTCTCATACTGAGGCAGGTGGCTGATGCCTCCCATTCCACCCGTGTTTTCTTTCCACAATGTCATCGGTCGGAACTGTAGTCAGCAATGACCTTGGCTCATTGGCTTGTCACGACTGGCGCGCAACATCCGAGTGTCTTCCACGTCTGAGGAGTTGGCGGACAGCTCCAAGTTGACTTGTGCTTGAATTCCGCAGAGGCTTCGTGCCTTTCGCCAGAATGAATCAGGGGACTTTAACTCAAGCAAAGTGATGAGTCGCACAAAAAAGAGGAGATGCAAAACAGCACAGCCAAACTATTCTCAGCCACCTTGGGCCCAAAATTTCATCGCGGGGACGTACTGGGCTTCCGGATCGACATTGAAGCGGAGCAATGGAGGGCCAAAGTCCACCTTCAGGTGGCTCAACGATCGAAACACCTGGTAGAGGCTCAAGTCTCCAAAGCGGCAGGATGCGAACACTTCCATCTTTTACGTTGTGAAGTTTTTTCTCCGCACTCCGCGCACCAATGTCAGGTTCACGAGGTCGGTCAAAGTAGGACCGCACCGGTGCAGGATTCAAGATTTTGCCCTGCAGATTTTGAAAGTTGCTCCACGTTGCATGGTGGTGCCCATCCCAATTTTGCTCACGAGCCTCATTCGGGAACTGGATTTGTGGGAAATCTGTCTGTGTCATAGTTGAAACCATTGACTCCGTCACATCTACAGGCTGCGGTAGCTGCCAAAAACGAGCTGGCTGTGTCATCCATGGCTTATCCCGAGACAATCTCATCGATCGTCTCTTTGTAATGTTCTCTCTAGACATATCTTCTAAGTAACTTGCTGGTTTGGAAGTTTTGGAAGGCGAAGACTGCGAAGACCGCAAACCAGGACCGGTCGGAGAGTAAATTGTGCTAGCTATTCTTTCAGCTTCCCTTTGCTCAACAGGAAGCGCATCTGGTTCCAAGCGCCAAGTCGGTTTCTGCACTTGCAGTTGGGCATCTGGTGGGAGCAGCTCCCTGTGGTCCAGCCATCTATCAAAGTAACAGCGACAATTTTGGCTCATTTCATCGTTGTTGTATGCTAGTTGATGCCGTGGATTCCAAAACTCCCCTTCTGGCTGCCAGTCTGGGTTCCATGTGCTCCGTTTAGCTGCTTCAGCAAATGTCTCTATCAATTCTTGTTCACGCTCTATGGCTGATATCGGCCTCGGACGCGGTGACAAGCCTGCCGTCAGCTTAACTCTACTCAAGGTTTCTTCCTCTTCCCTGAACTGATCATGTAGGTCTTGGAAAGCTTCGGAGAAAGCTGCTGTATTCTCTGGGGCTGGTTGTGTCTCGGTTGTGGTGGCTTCTTGGGGAAGCCCTTCATTCACCTTCAACTGCTCTTTCTCATCGCCTGCCATAGGCACCCATGGAGGACACCTTTTGAAGCTGCAGCCCTTGATCCGTTCAAAATCCGGGACAACTAGTTCAATTGCTATCAGCTATCACATATTCAAATCTGCTTGAAACGTTGAAAAGCTTCAGGTCTCTCCTGCATTCCGCAAGCATGAATGCCTTGCATTTCAATCAGTTACCACAGACCCTGACTTTTCTGCAGCAATGCCGGAAGCCTGAGACAAATCCCCTCTACGTTGCTTCCTTTGAGCAAGCATGCTGAGCGCCACCCTGTAGGCATCTACAGCTCAAGCAAATAACTGTACATGCAAATCGACAATCAGGCCAAGGCATCATATTTACAACATGCAGGCGACACGGCGATGCAGGCAAGGCTTGCTTGGCCAATGGAGCAGCTAAAATCATTCATGATATGGAATAAAATGCCCCCCTCAGAGTCTCGCGACTACCCGCATATTCCGGTGCTTAAACGAAACTGATATGGATACATATATGTCCGTGAGCATATATGTCTCGTGTTCACGGCCCCCCCCTTCCCCGCCATATGATATGGGAGGTTACCCCCCTACTCCCCCAACCCCCCCACCACATCCACAGGGGGAGGGATACATAGACATATGCGTATACACATACGTATACACACTGTATGCATTTGCACATACACATACTACATACGTATACACACGCATGTGTATGTATATATATATATCTATCTGTGTGCGTGTATACACTTCTTACACACATATATATATATATGTGTGTGTGTGTAAGATTATATGTATACATATATATATATATAACTTACGTATACATATAGGGACCATCACCATCTTGGGGGGAGGGGGGACCACCAAACGCTGGGCCGTGTGTGTGTGTGTATGTGTATATATATATATATGTGTGTGTGGTTTATTGTTTGATTGATTGATTTATTTATTTAATTATCTATTCAATCATTCATTCATGCATGCATTTCTATATTTACTATGTATCTATTTAAAATTTATATAGTTAGTTGGTTAGTTAGTTATTTACTTAGTTAGTTCGTTCATTAGTTTGTTGTCTGTTTATTATGCATGCATTCATTTTACTTTTTATTTATTCATTGTGTTTATGTATTGATTGTTGTTTATTTATTCATGGGTTTTTTGAATTATTCATCGTTTGATTTATGTGCTTGATTTATCAATTAAGAAAAAAGCTGATGGCATTTGTAAGAGCTTCTTCCAAATACACAGGAAATGATCTTGGCTGCAGCCTGCGTATTAAGCTTTACTTCTCCGCCTGCATGCGAAGAGTAAAGGCCCCTCTGCCACCAATGTACCCAGAGGGGATTTGGAAACTTGCTGGCACGTGGAAGTGAAGATGTCCAGCTTGTCTCCAGGGTATGCAGCAGGAATGCTAGGCAAAGAACTGTCATCCTACAGTGCCTGAGGTCCCGGAGAGGCATCTTTCAAAACGACCTTTCTACAAAACACTTCAAGTTTGCATATGAGCTCTCACATGCTATTGTAATCCGCCGACCCCGGCAGACGCAAGGGGGAGTGCGTAAGGGAAAAAGAGTTTATGACACAGCTGCCAGGAAAGAATAATAATAATTCGCTGACCCCGGCCGATGCAAGGGGGAGCGCGTAAGGGAAGAAGAGGTGCTGCACTGCTACTTTTACTACCAGTCAGCAGCAGGCAGCAGCAGGCAGCAGGCAGCAGGTAGCAGCCAGCAGCAGCCAGCAGCAGCCCGCACCAGCCAGCAGCAGCCAGCAGCAGGCAGCAGCAGGTGTCTGGCAGGCAGCATCCGGCAGCAGCAACCAGCAGCAGCCGGCGTTAGGCAGCCAGCAGCAGCCAGCAGCAGCCAGCAACAGCCAGCAGCAGGCAGGAGCAGGCAGCAGCCAGCAGCAGGCAGGAGCGGCAGGCAGCAGCAGGCAGCAGGCAGCAGGATTCCTTTCTGTAGGAGATTTCAGAAGGGACGTTCCGGCCTCGGGAAGCGCATATTTTGGACTCCGTTCGTCCTTCAGGGCCATGGTGTTTCCCCATCCGGCAGGGCCGTGTCTTTGTGGGCACAGCAGCAGCAGCAGCAGCAGCAGCCGGCGTTAGGCAGCCGCAGCAGCCAGCAGCAGCCAGCAACAGCCAGCAGCAGGCAGGAGCAGGCAGCAGCCAGCAGCAGGCGGAGCGGGCAGGCAGCAGCAGGGGCAGCAGGCGGCAGCAGGATTCCTTTTTGTAGGAGGCTTTCAGAAGGGAGTTCCGGCCTCGGGAAAACGTATTTGGACTCCGTTCGTCCTTCAGGGCCATGGTGTTTCCCCGTCCGGCAGGTGCAGGAAAGAATAATAATAATTCGCTGACCCCGGCCGATGCAAGGGGGAGCGCGTAAGGGAAGAAGAGGTGCTGCACTGCTACTTTTACTACCAGTCAGCAGCAGGCAGCAGCAGGCAGCAGGCAGCAGGTAGCAGCCAGCAGCAGCCAGCAGCAGCCCGCACCAGCCAGCAGCAGCCAGCAGCAGGCAGCAGCAGGTGTCTGGCAGGCAGCATCCGGCAGCAGCAACCAGCAGCAGCCGGCGTTAGGCAGCCAGCAGCAGCCAGCAGCAGCCAGCAACAGCCAGCAGCAGGCAGGAGCAGGCAGCAGCCAGCAGCAGGCAGGAGCGGCAGGCAGCAGCAGGCAGCAGGCAGCAGGATTCCTTTCTGTAGGAGATTTCAGAAGGGACGTTCCGGCCTCGGGAAGCGCATATTTTGGACTCCGTTCGTCCTTCAGGGCCATGGTGTTTCCCCATCCGGCAGGGCCGTGTCTTTGTGGGCACAGCAGCAGCAGCAGCAGCAGCAGCAGCAGTTGTTTCTTGCTTTGGAGGCTGTTTGATTGCAGCAGCACGACAGCAGCACCACAGCAGCAGCAGCCACCAGTAGCAGCACCAGCAGCAGCAACCAGCAGCAGCCGGCGTTAGGCAGCCAGCAGCCAGCAGCAGCCAGCAACAGCCAGCAGCAGGCAGGAGCAGGCAGCAGCCAGCAGCAGGCAGGAGCGGCAGGCAGCAGCAGGCAGCAGGCAGCAGGATTCCTTTTTGTAGGAGATTTCAGAAGGGACGTTCCGGCCTCGGGAAACGCATATTTTGGACTCCGTTCGTCCTTCAGGGCCATGGTGTTTCTCCGTCCGGCAGGGCCGTGTCTTTGTGGGCACAGCAGCAGCAGCAGCAGCAGCAGTTGTTTCTTGCTTTGGAGGCTGTTTGATTGCAGCAGCACGACAGCAGCACCACAGCAGCAGCAGCCACCAGTAGCAGCACCAGCAGCAGGCAGCAGGCAGCCGCAGGCAGCAGCAGGCAGCAGCAGGCAGCAGCAGGCATCAGTAGGCAGCAGCAGACACAAGCAGACGCAGCAGCAGTAAGCGCAACGGCAGGAGTGCAGCAGCTAGCAGCGAGCCAGCAGCTTGCTACTACTACTTTAATATTTGTAGGAGATTTCAGAAGGGACGTTCCGGCCTCGGGAAACGCATATTTTGGACTCCGTTCGTCCTTCAGGGCCATGGTGTTTCCCCGTCCGGCGGGGCTGTGCCTTTGTGGGCACAGCAGCAGCAGTCGCTGTCGCCTCTCATTAGCATGGGGTTTCCTTGCCGGAAGCTGTGAAGGGTCAGCTACTAGCAGCAGCAGCAGCAGCAGCTCCAATAGAATTTTTGTCTAGGTTTCCAGCAGCATCAGTAGCAGTAAGAGGAACGGCAGCGAGCCAGTAGCCAGCATAGCATTGAGATTGAAGGGGGAGCGCGTAAGGGAAGAAGAGGTGCTGCACTGCTACTTTTATACTGCGAGGCAGCAGCAGGCAGCAGCAGGCAGCAGGTAGCAGCCAGCAGCAGCCAGCAGCAGCCCGCACCAGCCAGCAGCAGCCAGCAGCAGGCAGCAGTACGTGTCTAGCAGGCAGCATCCGGCAGCAGCAACCAGCAGCAGCCGGCGTTAGGCAGCCAGCAGCAGCCAGCAGCAGCCAGCAGCAGCCAGCAGCAGCCAGCAACAGCCAGCAGCAGGCAGGAGCAGGCAGCAGCCAGCAGCAGGCAGGAGCGGCAGGCAGCAGCAGGCAGCAGGATTCCTTTTTGTAGGAGATTTCAGAAGGGACGTTCCGGCCTCGGGAAACGCATATTTTGGACTCCGTTCGTCCTTCAGGGCCATGGTGTTTCCCCGTCCGGCAGGGCTGTGCCTTTGTGGGCACAGCAGCAGCAGCCAGCAGCAGTTGTTTCTTGCTGGAGCGTTTGATTGCAGCAGCACGACCAGCAAGCCACACAGCAGGCAGCAGCAACCAGTTAGCAAGCATCCGGCAGCAGCAACCAGCAGCAGCCGGCGTTAGGCAGCCAGCAGCAGCCAGCAGCAGCCAGCAACAGCCAGCAGCAGGCAGCAGCCAGCAGCCAGCAGCAGGCAGGAGCGGCAGGCAGCAGCAGGCAGCAGGCAGCAGGATTCCTTTTTGTAGGAGATTTCAGAAGGGACGTTCCGGCCTCGGGAAACGCATATTTTGGACTCCGTTCGTCCTTCAGGGCCATGGTGTTTCCCCGTCCGGCAGGGCCGGAAAGAATAATAATAATTCGCTGACCCTGGCCGATGCAAGGGGGAGCGCGTAAGGGAAGAAGAGGTGCTGCACTGCTACTTTTATACTGCCAGGCAGCAGCAGGCAGCAGCAGGCAGCAGGCAGCAGGTAGCAGCCAGCAGCAGCCAGCAGCAGCCCGCACCAGCCAGCAGCAGGCAGCAGTACGTGTCTGGCAGGCAGCATCCGGCAGCAGCAACCAGCAGCAACCAGCAGCAGCCGGCGTTAGGCAGCCAGCAGCAGCCAGCAGCAGCCAGCAGCAGCCAGCAACAGCCAGCAGCAGGCAGGAGCAAGCAGCAGCCAGCAGCAGGCAGGAGCGGCAGGCAGCAGCGGGCAGCAGGCAGCAGGATTCCTTTTTGTAGGAGATTTCAGAAGGGACGTTCCGGCCTCGGGAAACGCATATTTTGGACTCCGTTCGTCCTTCAGGGCCATGGTGTTTCCCCGTCCGGCAGGGCCGTGTCTTTGTGGGCACAGCAGCAGCAGCAGCAGTTGTTTCTTGCTTTGGAGGCTGTTTGATTGCAGCAGCATGACAGCAGCACCACAGCAGCAGCAGCCACCAGTAGCAGCACCAGCAGCAGCAACCAGCAGCAGCCGGCGTTAGGCAGCCAGCAGCAGCCAGCAGCAGCCAGCAACAGCCAGCAGCAGGCAGGAGCAAGCAGCAGCCAGCAGCAGGCAGGAGCGGCAGGCAGCAGCAGGCAGCAGCAGGCAGCAGGCAGCAGGATTCCTTTTTGTAGGAGATTTCAGAAGGGACGTTCCGGCCTCGGGAAACGCATATTTTGGACTCCGTTCGTCCTTCAGGGCCATGGTGTTTCCCCGTCCGGCAGGGCCGTGTCTTTGTGGGCACAGCAGCAGCAGCAGCAGTTGTTTCTTGCTTTGGAGGCTGTTTGATTGCAGCAGCACGACAGCAGCACCACAGCAGCAGCAGCCACCAGTAGCAGCACCAGCAGCAGGCAGCAGGCAGCCGCAGGCAGCCGCAGGCAGCAGCAGGCAGCAGCAGGCAGCAGCAGGCAGCAGCAGGCATCAGTAGGCAGCAGCAGACACAAGCAGACGCAGCAGCAGTAAGCGCAACGGCAGGAGTGCAGCAGCTAGCAGCGAGCCAGCAGCGAGCCAGCAGCTTGCTACTACTACTATAATATTTGTAGGAGATTTCAGAAGGGACGTTCCGGCCTCGGGAAACGCATATTTTGGATTCCGTTCGTCCTTCAGGGCCATGGTGTTTCCCCGTCCGGCAGGGCTGTGCCTTTGTGGGCACAGCAGCAGCAGTCGCTGTCGCCTCTCATTAGCATGGGGTTTCCTTGCCGGAAGCTGTGAAGGGTCAGCTAGCAGCAGCAGCAGCAGCAGCTCCAATAGAATTTTTGTCTAGGGTTCCAGCAG